AGCAAGGGCACTTTGCAGAAATAAAAGGGCAAGAGTGCTTATGTAATAGTTATTGGCATCTAAGGTTGCAATCCTAACTCCATTTACCTGGGAGTAAGCCCCATTGACTTAGTGGACTTCTGAGTAGACATTGTTAGGATTGCAATGTTGGTCAATGGAAGAATTCACCTAGTGTGCCCTCTTATTTCTGCATGAGAATATATATCATGAACTTTCAGTCCTACTTTCAATCCCATTCAGTTCTAATTCCTACTCAGTTTGCAGGTACTAAACACCTGACAGTATCAATGGGAATGCAAGAAACAGCCAGACTTCCTTGTTGCTGCACATGCTGATCATACCCTCCACCCTATGTGTGATTGACAACAACCTGAAGGGGGCATCTTTGTTGTACACAGGGTTTTCTCCTCTGGGATGGGAATTCAGGGTCAATCATAGGACAACTGAACACCCAGATAGGGGTAGTTTTAAATGGGAAGCAGCTAAAAAGCTGAGAAGATTGTTTTACATTGCCCACATTCTGACCAAACCTGGGATACTGGGCCTAATTTTATCTCAAATGTATTTAAGAGTCATTCATTAAATTCAAAATAGTAATCAGGGTAATTAATCTGATACTGCTGTCCTTGGTTGCAAATGATTTTGTTTCCTTACATTTATTTTATACCTACATTACTATATTTTCTTATAGAGTTACTTTACTTTAACCAATTTAACCTGCTTGTTCAATTTTCCTCCTTGCTAGTTTGCTTTATAATATATTTTTCAGCAATCTTTCTGGGGATTCTTGCAGAATATTTTAGATAGCCTCTTTTGGCATGGGTGCCCATATATATTCTATTTTTGTAGTTTTCATCTAGCATCATATATTTGTGCCATTTACTTTGCTTCTTCCGAAATAAAAAAATAAAGCAAAGTGTTAGAAACCCCAAACTTTACTGGGAGCAATTCAGTTTGAAAGCACTGTAATAAAAATATGACAGTTGGCAAAAGTTTGGATGCAAACTTTTTATTTCTCATTTTTTTTTAAGATCACAATACAGTAAAATGTACCAAAGGTGGTGGGAAAAGCTAACCAAAGAGAATACAGCATTAACTTAGTTGTAGCTGGAAGTGTGGAAATGCCCTTTAATCTTTGTAATTATGGGAGAGATCATTATGAAAATGTGGTGTATACTGCCTAGAACCATGTTGTTGTTAAATGAAGAAGAAAAGTATACTTGGGTCCAAAGAGGCTTGGATGGAACTATGTTCACCCAGTGAGCCTTTCCCACTCCTTCTTCAGTGCAACTCCCTGTGTCTCCCAAAACTGTTTATAAGGGTTGGGAAACTCTCTGGAAAGGCATGGAATAGGGTGTGGGAGGAGGACAGAAGAAAAGAGAAGGCACTTCAATAAGATCAGCAATTCCTTCTACTTGGTAAGAGCAAACATTTGGACGTGTCATTCTGCATTGCAGCCTTAGGGCAATTACAGGTTGCTCGCCTTTGTATGTTTTAAAATTGGTGCTTGTTTCAAAAAAGAGTTCCAGCCAAAGAGAATTATGTTCCTCTGCATTTAATGGGGCTCTTTCCCAGATGCATAGGTATATGATTGCAACCCATTAGTGATTTAGTGGTGAGCTATATTAAACTGTGGCCCACAAAGTTCTCTTAAGTTAGAGAAGAACTTGCTGAACAAGCATATGGAATTGTAAAATGTTATTTTCTGATGTATAAGCCTGACACCTGGAGGAGTCCAGAGTACTGCCTACAAACCCCAGCAGGGCAGATTGAATCTTATATTGCAGGATCCACAGACAATGACTCCAGCCTCCAGATGGTAGATTCTGCTTATTGGCTAAGCCTCTCTATCTGTCTGGTCATCAGTTGGCACAGACAACAGTATGCCAATTATATCACCTCGGAAACATATAGCAGTCTATTAATCATGTATACTTTGAAATGTACATTAACTCATAATTTCTGAAACTGGGCAATATCTTTGTCAATGGCATTATACATCCATAAATATCTTCCAATGAGAAGGAAAGTTTTTTTTAATGGCCTGCTTATTATGTGGATGGAAACAGTAAGAGACAGTTGGTGTAGAAAATTAATGAACTAGAGTTTCATGGCTGGGTTTCACTCCAACCTACCTTATGTTACCAGTTAAATGAGTTTGGGCACCTCACCGTCAGTCCTTAGGAGGTTTTTATGCATTTTACCAAATGTACAACAGAGCATATTATAGTTAAAGCACTAGTTCCCCCCCATACACATTTATAATTTGGGTTTTCATTACAAGAGACATTGCTTTAAAAAGGATTTCAAAGTAATACCACAAGTTCATACTGTCCAAGAACATACATGCACAAATATTATTACCTGTATATCAAGTGAGAATGATAAAATGTTCACCATTTCTCTTACAAAAACCCATTCTTAGTTGCTCCTGTTTGTGTTGCTGTCAGCATAAACCTTTATAGATAACATTATCAAATATAGGAAGTTATAGTCTTCCGAATATTTCAAATGTTCCTGAGGACATTCATATAAATGTATGATTTATGTATATACATAAATGTCTAGCTGCTAACTGAAGTGACTTGCAAGAGGTATATTTTTTACATCTTACCTGTATTTTGTCTACTGTGGAGCACAAGGAAGTATCCTTTTCTTTGCAGAAATGGTTAGTTTGCTTGGGCTTCATAAAAGTTCCCACCTGTATTCAAACCCCCCCTAACAAATTGTATTTTGCTGTCTCCAACTGTTGGCTGCGACACCTTCTGATTTATTTATTTTTTATAACCTGGAATTGATATTTTTGGTGGCTTTTGCTTTTGGTTGTCAGCTTAACCTGTGAGTCACATTGAGAGCCTGCAATGTGGTAATGTGTCATACAGGGCGTTAACAAGGTGTTGTATTTAGAATACAGGACGAGGACCAGGACATAAAGTTTCAAAACCCCAATCAACCATGATTCCACCGGGGCACCTTGTACCGGTTGCTGTGTATTTTAGCCTAATCTAGCTCACAAGGTTGTTGTGAGAGGAAGGAGGGACGTGGGTGGCACTGTGGTCTAAGCCACTGAGCCCCTTGGGCTTACTGATTGGAAGGTCGGTGGTTTGAATTCGCATGACAGGGTGCGCTCCTGTTGCTCTGTTCCAGCTTCTGCCAACCTAGCAGTTTGAAAGCATGCCAGTGCAAGTGGGTAATTGGGTACCGCTATGGTGGGAAGGTAAACGGTGTTTCCATGCGCTCAGGTTTCTGTCATGGTGTTCCGTTGCACCAGAAGTGGTTTAGTCATGCTGGCCACATGACCCAGAAAGCTGTCTTTGTACAAACACCGGCTCCCTCGGCCTGAAGTGAGATGAGCGCTGCACCCCTAGTCGCCTTTGACTGGATTTAACTGTCCAGGGGTCCTTTACCTTACCTTTGTGAGAGTAAAATATCAGGGTAGAGAATCCTGTGCATAGCGCTGATTGCTGAGTTTTAAAATATATGGGATGAATGGTAGATAAATACATATATTAAACAGCCCATTTTGCTGTACATTACATGGCCAGAGAAACATTCATAGCATTCAACACATAGGAAATGACATTTTCAGCAATGAAATGACATGGCAAAAACGGCAGCAATTGTATACATGCTTATCTTGATGTAAGTGCTGTTGAACTCTATGGCACTTACTTCTGAGTTGATGTGTATAGGATTGTGTTGTTAGAACGAAAGGAATTTATTACAACTGAGAACTAAAATACTCCGTTATAAGTTTTTATATTTACTAAAAATAGTACATCAAGATATAAGGGAGACAATATGCAGAAATATAAAAATCACTATACACATTCACATCTCTTTAGTTTGCATAGATAAATGTTCACACACACATATACGCATGTTTATGAATATATCTATAATCAGTGAAATGTTCCTTGATTTTCCACTTAAAATATCTGCCAGTGCATTGTATATACATGAGTTGTTAAACCATTTAGGGCTCCACCAAAGTAGCAGGGCATTAGATTTTCACCCATCCATCTGAAAACAATTAGGAGAAAATGCCACTTATCTTAAATATTATTTGTCAGATTTTCTTCATCCAACTAGGTAAATACAGATTTGCTGACATTTTGATGTACTATCATCAATCCATGGCAAACCTAAGTGACTGGGCTTTGGCCCGTGAATAGCTTTTGTTTCTCTGTGACATTAAAATGTTTTAAAACATATGATAATAATGAATATTCAGAATTAGTCATTCTTCAGTGTGTGCACAGTAGGTCATATGTCATAAGATCATGAGAATATTTATGGTACAATCAAGAGGTTTATAACTGCCTTGCAATAGAATTTTGCACACAGTATCTGCTGTGTATGTGCTTGAAAGCAAATTTGCTATTTCATCCAGAACAATTATTTTTAGACAGTACAATAGACAAATACTTTCAAAACAGCATATTTCAACTTTTTAGCAATATCCTCAACACCTGTCTTTAAACGATGGTTCCACTACATGTCTCCAATTAATCTGAAGCACTCAACAAAAGCACACATGGATTACAATGTAACTGTAGGATTACATAAGTTACAAAGCAAAAATTGAATGCTTTGCAATGGGTATTGATTATTCCTCTAATTACTCGTTTCCTTTCTGTTTTCTTTGAAGCGTCATTGGTTTCATATCATACAGCATTACACAGCTAATGTGGACAGCCTGGGACAAACTTTTTTGACGTCCTAAACTGAAAATATGATCTTATATTGACTCTGTACTTTGTGACAGGTAGTTTTATTTGTCAAATTTATTTCCCTATCCTGAAAAAAGAATTAGTCAGCAGAAATCAGAGAAATCTTTGTGCAACAGATGTGACTTCTTCCTTACAGCACAAGTTAGTCTGCACATCTTAATTCAGCCAAAATTTAATATTATTAAACATTTTGGAATAGAATTGTAGAGTTGGAAGGGACCCTGAGGATCATCTAGTCCAACTCTCTGCAATGCAGGAATACACAGCTGTCCCATATGGGGATCAAACCTGCTACCTTGGTGTTATCAGCACCATGCTCTAACCAACTGAGCCATCTGGGCTGACATCCTTATCCTTCTGGTAAGGTTAAGGGGACCTTCAGCTGGGAACAACATTGCTTGGACTTCCCTGTCCTGAGAATTGTGATGGGAAATTGAGAGTTTGCTGCTGTCTTAATGATGGCTCTTCCTTTTTTCCTCCATTCATGGCACTCAGTGGACCCAATGCTTTATTCTATCTTGTCTAAGAAATAGAAAAGGTAGTCATATTATTCACATCTACATTAGTAGATCTTGCTCCAGTTTGTGAGGGTTTTGAATATCAAAGGGTATTTGAAGTGTACTCTCCTCTCCCCCCCATCTCTGTCATTCTCTCCTGTAGAATCATCTGCAGTACAACCACAAGTATCTGATTCACCCATAGGGTAGCCAAAACACTGATATAATCATAACTTCCAATAAAAATGGTCTTCCTAAAAAAAATAAAAAACCTCACACTGGTACGTAGTGGCAGATAGAAGGGAGATAAGTAGGGATTTTATACAACAGCTGCTTGGCTGCCTTTCCCCATTTCTCTAGTTTTATGAACATAAGTAATACCTCTTTTACTTGCAGATTAGTTGCAATTAAGGCTCAAACTCTATGGCACGTTATTTGGGAGTAAATCTCACTTAGCTCAGTGGAAGTTTCTTCTGATTAGTGTTGTTATAAATTATGCCTTGAATCCATCCTATTAGGTTTCTGGAAATGGAAGTGCTCTTCTCATTTGCAAATGGGATCCAATGAAGGATCCAGTCACTGGAAGGGGAGAAGCTATGCTATCTAATTCCCCTTTCAACCTACAGCCCCCCTGCACCACTTTTCATGCTGCTATGGAGGATTATTCAATTCTCTGGGGAGATTTTTTAGGAGGCACAATGGTCTGAAAAGGAAATGGTGAATCAGAAAGAGTCCCCTCCTCTCCTTCAACTGGCAGGAGCATCACACGAGCAAAACTCAGCTCTAGTGTTTCAGCTTCCCATTAGAATAAGTGAAACAGCTTTGATGGGACTTAACTGATTCCATAGACATCCTACTGAAAGTACAGGCGTGAACTAGAGAATTGCATTTGGTGCAACTCTAAGCGTGTTTACTTAGAAGTAAGTACTCCTAAGTTAAGTGAGACTTATTCTTTAGATTGCAGCCTTATATCAGGAAAAATTGTCCTAGCCATAAATCATTCAGTTATAGAAACCTAACATTTATTGCTAAAAGTTCAGTCATGTGATAACATTTCATAGACTGTCATTATGCTAGCATGAGAATCAAACATTACCAGCACCTGAACCTTTGTCCAGCTGAATCGCTGCAACATACTAGATTTAAGAAGAGGAAGGGCAGAGGAGCAGCAAGGTCAGGGTGGTGCAAACACGCTGTCAGGAGTGCTAAATTGGCTCCACCAGCACATTTGCACCATGCTGACCTTGCCATGCCCCTTCTCTCACCATGTGCTGCAGTGACTCAGGCACACGAGGGTCTGGTGAGCAGTGAAGCCCCACCATGCCATCCACCATTGATAATACATAGTGCAATCTAAAGAGGTGAGCACCTTATAAAAACTCAGCTCATGCCATTTTAGGTACATGCTTTTGCCATTTCAGCCTAACTCTTAGATTGGGGTGTGAGCAGCTGTGGGTATCATGTAGTTATATTGCACTGTTTTGCTAGCATTTAAGATAATCATATATTTTTCGTAGATCTTTAAAAACAACAAAAACCATCACCAAGAACTTTAAGGATCATGGCTTGTTGTAATAAAGGCAATCAGAATCTTTCAACTGCCAGATTGTGGGGAACTGAATATTTCTTATAATGTCAAGGGGGTTAACATGTTTTTTTTTCCTGGAGTCTGACCTCATGTTTGAATTGTGATTCTAATGTTAATCATTGTAGGACACAGTTTCACACCTCATAAATTCAGTCAGTGCTTAAGTAAACGGAAGATTCACAAATGCTTACATCACCTTGTATTCTCTCTCTTCCTCCTTCCCTTCCTCCTCCCTTCTCTTCTTCTTTTCAAAGTTATGTCCTTGGTTTTATAAAACTGCCATGCAGAGCCGTCTGCCAGAAAGCTCTAAAAATAATAGCACAGACACTAGCATCAACAAATTGGCTACTTTGCTTTCAATGATTCTGATGTTCAAATGCAAAGGTTTCTGGATCCAAATGCTGGAGGCGTTCTTTGAATATGTTAGCCCAGTTTACATGGATAATAAAGAAATGGAAGATAACAGAGCTTTAGAAACTTTTCAAAATAATAATAATAAAAATCACGATCAACTTTAAATTAAACCAGCTGCAAGCACGTATTTGGGCTCAGCAAACATTTGACATTAAGAACATAATTGCCTTTCAGGATCAAGATCTAGTCCAATATTTTATTTCCCAAAGTGACTATCCAAATGCCTTTGGAAGCTCACAAGCAGGGCATGAGGATAATGGCCAAGTTGCCAGTCACCAATATTTGGCATTTAGACATGTTTCAACCTCTGTGCATAGAAGTTATGCTCAGAACTATCTCGGCAAATTGTCAGGCCTGTTTTGCATGAATTTGTCTAAAGCCATTTAAGGTAGTGGCCATCATGACACCATATTCCATTCCAGCCATACGTTGATTAGGCGTTGTGGGTAGGTGTGGGTGTAGAAGTGTACAAGTCTTTGACTTCAGATATACAGAAATACGAAATAACAGAACACACACACTTTTATATTTTAATCTAGTATCCGGAATATGCCAAAATTAATTGCATTTATAAATAGTTTCTGCTTGATATAAATGTAATAAAATGTTTGGAAAGTTTAATCTGTCAAATTTTCCATGGTTCTCCCATACTAAATTCTTATATACTATGAATTCAGAGACTTTTTGACTCTCTTTGCTGTCCCCTGGCAGAGGTGGATTTAGGGCAGTGCGACCAGTTCCGATGCACTAGGTGCCAAGCCTAGGGGGCACCGCAGGGCATTGCAACTATGGTGCGTAGTGAATTGTTCAGAAAAGAAGGTGAGAGGCATGGGCGGGTGCCATATTTTGGCCTCGCACAGGGTGCCACTGAAATTTGAAAGATCAAAGTCTGCTCCTGCCCCTGGCTGGGCTCAGAGGTGCCTCTTAATATTTTAAGCAATATTTTTTAGAAAAATTCTGCATTGACATTTTCAGTCATCCTTCCATTGGAATCCCAAGATCCATTGAAGGAACTTTAAGATGAATAAAGAGGTAAAGGGACCCCTGACCGTTAGGTCCAGTCGCGGACGACTCTGGGGTTGCGGCGCTCATCTCACTTTATTGGCCGAGGGAGCCAGCGTACAGCTTCTGGGTCATGTGGCCAGCATGACTAAGCCGCTTCTGGCGAACCAGAGCAGCGCAGAGAAACACCGTTAGCTTCCCGCCAGAGCAGTACCTTTTTATCTACTTGCACTTTGAGGTGCTTTCAAACTGCTAGGTTGGCAGGAGCAGGGACCAAGCAATGGGAGCTCACCCCATCACGGGGATTCAAACTGCCGACCTTCTGATCGGCATGCCCTAGGCTCAGTGGTTTAGATACACTCAGGGAATTGAGGAGTAAAAGAAATTTCCTTTTTCCTAAAAAATGATGGCACTCACTTAAAGCCATTCCCAAGCCACTTGCAAACTATTCAGCTGATCCAAATACTACCCAAAAAGTAATATGGACATACCTAACCCTGTTTGATGAACCCCATACCAAATTTGGTAATTGACACCTTGTATTTGAAAGCAAATACTCATTTTATGGCCAACTAAGACATAAATTGAGATCTTTGGTGCACTTACTTGAAAGCAACATAGTTCAGGACATTTTAGTGACCGAGGCACAGAATCCATATGGCCCACAAAATTACGATATTATAACAATCTAAACAATAGACCACTTGCGACCCTTTCATAGTACTCCAAAGTCTCCCACTTGAGGTAGATCACCTTATGCTGTCTTAATAGGGAGAGACAGCCCTGTTAGAAAGCAAACTCCAGTGAAATCAATGCTAATTGCATTAGTCAGAGAACTGCAATGTTTCCTCCTTAATTTTAAAGGTATTTAGCCCCTTACTAAGCTATCTACAGTATGACCTTTTCATAAAATCAGCTTCAAAGTTCTTTTTTTGTAGTTTCTCCAAACTTCCTACACTTTGCATCAAAAGTGATAAAACACAAATGTCAAACTTTATTAATTCTGTTATCACCAGGCATTATTCTATTTCTTTTTCCCTTTCTGCTTCATTGTATGTATGCTAAGATCTGGAATATTTCCAGTCATTCTCACTATCATTTAGTCCTTAAAACCCAGAACAGACATTTAAACTGAGGAAAGCAGGGGAGAGAATCCATGCACTCACAACATATTTTGCCTGCAGATGCAGAGGCAACAGAGTCTGAAGATGAATTCTTGTAGTTTTCAACCGATGGTATCCATGTGATAGACTCAGTATAATTAAATAAGGGGGAAAATATAGCATCTTGGGTATTCCTTTGTGAGTAAAAGATTGAGCTACACAGAGAGAGAAAAGTCCACAAGTGATTAGCAGCTGATTTTTATGAGAATTTTTCTACACCTCTAATTTGATCCCCCCCTCCCCATATCTGTAATGAGTGCAGTGATGTTTGTTGCTTCAGTTTCATCCCAGCATCATTCCCCGTGTCATTACCATATGTATGCTCAGTGGTTTGCTGAACTTAAAACACCAAAGAGCTTGTAAAAATGTGGCTCTTATGGCATCACAGATAGCAGGGTTTTTTTGGTATTAGATTTCTGTGAACCTTAACGCTGCCATTTCCATATCTCAAGGCTGTTTCATGCAAATGTTGGATCTAGGTAGTGCCACAAACAAGCCAGCGTAATATATCAGTAACTTTGTTTTGGAGGAAAAGAAAAGAAAAGAAAGACTTTTGAACATGCAGGAAATATTAGTACATCAAACACAGTGAAAGACAAGGTAGTTTAACTTGTTGGTTTGTTTGCTAAAACTCGAAAGTAAATATACTGTAGCTAAAAGTATTCCATTTTTATCTG